AATGCCTAGCACATTGTAGGTGCTTAATAAACGCCTGCTTCCTTCCTTCAAGGCTCTCTATAGCCTGACCTCAGTCTACCTCTCATTATTATTCCCTAATACTTCCTTATATCAATCCCTTATGTATGGCACATTGGAATCTCTACTGGCTCCTTAAACGTGCCTTTCACTTTTCTGCCTCCAGAAGAAATATTCTGCCTTTGCTCAAACAATCACCGTCCTCTGAGATGAATTCCATCCTCTTCTTAACTAGGCTATCTTATCTCCGTTCTTCAGCACCTGGATCTTCCTTCCTTAAAGCCTTGCAAGATTACTTGAGCCTACAAGATTTCTCTCTTCTCTAATCTCATATAACACTTGCTATTTCTACAGCTGATCTGGCAAACACATATCTTGGTTTATTCTATGTTCCATTTTCTTTTTTTCTCCAACTAGATTATAAGCTTCTTGAGGGCAGGGACAGTTTCTTGATCATCTCTGTATTATTCACAATGCCCAGCATGGCATTTTGAACATGCTATATGCTAAGTAAACATTTGTTGGTTTAATAATTTTTTCATGATTTGCAGCAATATACAGTTTGAAAAGGGGATGGGTGAATCAGTTGCACAACAAGGCTAACCGATGAACAACAGGTCATTGGTTAGATTTTCTGTGGAGATGGAGCATCTATAGGTAGACACTTAAAAGTGCTGGACAACTAGGTGGCACAGTGGATTGACTCACCAAAAAAAAAAACAAAAAACAAAACACTTAAAAGTGCCAAACAAAATAAGGAGTGGATTAGTGGAGAACAGAAAAGGAATGAGAGGACTGGGGGATAAACAAATACTGTCCTGATTTTCAAAATAGGCAAGATAATGGAATCCTCAAACTACAGGCCATTATGTGTGACTTCTAGTTTCTTGGAAAATTCTAGAAAATATATCAAGGAGATGGTTAGTGAAAAATGTCTAAAAAGACGAAATGGGGATTCCAAAGAACCAGCATAGCTTTATAAAGAAGTCTTTCCAATGCCAAAATTTCCTTTTTTTTTTGACACTATTGAATTGATAGATCATAGAACTGCTACAGATATAGAGACAGCTAGGTGGCACAGTATGCAGAGAATGGGACTTGGAGTCAGTAGATCTGAGTTCAAATACTGCCTCAGATATCTGTTAGTTGTGTGACTCTGCGAAAGTCACTTAACCTCGGCGAGCCAGTTACCTCATCTGTAAAATGACAATAATACCACCTACAACCCAGGGCTGTTGTGAGGATAAAATGAGATGATGTTTGTAAAGTGCTCTGCAAATCTTATAAGCAGTTACAAAAATGTCAGCTATTATTTTATAAAGTTTATCTAGGTTTTTACAAAACATTTCATGCAGTCTCTCATATTATTCTTATGGAGAATACCGGAGAGCTGTCAGCTAGACAATATTACAATTAGGTCAATTCATAACTGGTTGACTGACCAGCCCCAGGAGCTGGTTGGTTGAACTTAATGATTCAATGTCAACTTACGAAGAAGTTTCCTCTAGAGTTACTGAGGGATCTGTGCTCATATTTTTATTAATGACCTAAATAAAGGTATTTGTTCTTATCAAATATACAAGTAATCCAAACCTGGGAGGGGTCATTAATATATCAGAAGACAAAGGCAGGACACCCAAGAAATCCCTGACAGTTTGGCATACAGAGTTGAAGTGAATAAGGTGAAAATGAATAGAGATAAATGTAAAAGTCTTATTTTGAGTTCAAGAAGTCAACTTCACAAGTGCAATATGATGGAATTATGGTTAGACAGCAATCTGTCTGAAAAAGACATGAGGGATTTTAGTAAACTGTAAGCCCCCAGAGTCAACAGTGTCATACAGGACTAATGAAATGAAATCTTGGGTTACATTAAGCTAATGTAATCTTGAGTTGTATTAAGCAAGGTATAACTTCCATCAATAAGGAGATGATACTGCCTATCTATTCTGCACTGGTCAGATGACATCCAGAGTATTGTGCTGGGGCAGCTAGGTGCTGCAGTGCTCTGGAGTCAGGAGGACCTGAATTCAAATCAGGACTCAGACACTTAGCACTTACTAGCTGTGTGACTCTGAGCAAGTCACTTAACCCCAATTGCTCACCAAAAAAAAAAGTTACAAAGAAGCATAATTAGGATTGATTCATAAAAGAATCTCCTAATGATTACAGCTGCCCCAAAGTAGTGCAAGCCTGGACCTCCCAGGAGGATTAAGCAAAAGCTAGAAGACCTCTTGTCAAGTGTGTCATTAACAGGTATTTTTTTTTTGGCTATGGGTTAGAATAAATGGCCACTGAGGTCTGAAATTTACAGATTCTGGTTATGGTCTGCACTGCTGGAGGGTCAACTGGGACACTGTGAACTCATGCGGATCCAGCCACATATAAGTACTAAATGCCAGCTAGTTAAGGCTAAGTGGAACAGTGGTGGATGGGGCACTAGGCCCGGAGTCAGGAAAACTTTTCTTCCTGAGTTCAAATCTGGCCTCACACACTTACCAGCTGTGTGACTCTGGGTAAGTCACTTAACCCTGTTTGCCTCAGTTTTCCTATCTGTAAAATGAGCTGGAGAAGGAAATGGCACTCACTACAGTATCTTTGCCAAGAAAACCCCAAATGGGGTCATGAAGGGTCAGATATGACTGAAAGCACTGAAGAACAGTTAACCTGAAGTCCAACTCCAATGGACCTGAAATCTCACTCTCTCCAAAGATGCAGCTCATCACCCAGCCAGGCATGCACATCCTGATCTTGTCTAGATCCAAATATAAAACATAAAAGCAAAATTCTCAGCCTGGGTAAAATGTTCACCCAGAGGCTCCCTGGGCACTCACAAAAGCAAATCACTCAACTTCAGTAAACTTCATTTACTGAAACGTTAAATCTCCATTTAAGCTCAGTATATTTTTATAATGATTTCATAAGCCATCAATCATAAATCTTGGAAGATCTGACATTTCCCTTGTATAAAAAGTCTAACAAGATAACTTTCTCTAGAGAAGGGAAAACTTGTAATAAAGGCAAAACAGAACAACTTCATAAAACAGCCAATAGGTTTAATAGGCTTTTGATACAGTGTCACCCCAAAAGTTAATCGTCCAGTGAGCACTATTTTATCAGAGTAGTCAAAAAGTCTTCCATCCACATATCAGCAGGGAGAAAATTATTAAGGTAAAAAAAACAACATACCACATAATTCAACCAAAACTGCAAATGAGGAAAAAATAAAACATACAAAAGAAAAAGTTCACAGAGTTTTCCTTGATTATACTTTTTTAGCATCATGCATATTCTCTGTAGTGTTATCAGAACTGGAAGTTCCACCACCAGGGCCTCCCTTTGACCTTGGGAACCCAGTTCACCAAGAATTACTGCAAGGTTTTCTGTTTCATTTATTATTAGTCCATAATATCTGCATTGCTGTAGTATTTGTTAGGAATATCATCAGTGTGAGTTTGCCGCAAATCTACAGTAAAAATGCCCTCCCTCCCCCCAACGAAGAGGGGGCAAGAACTGAAATACAAAGTGAATGGTATTTAGAGGGTAGATTTAAAAAAACAATAATTACACTAAAGTACATCTAGGATCTAAACAGTCCTAACTGAGGGAAGGGGGAGACAGTCATTTGGGAAGAGATTTGTTTAAAGTTCCATTCCTTAACTGATATGACATGATTTTTTAAAAATATAATGCTCCATTTTAAAATGGAAATATGGTTGGGGTGGGAGTGAGAGGGGACTCCTTATAGGGCTTTCCCCAAAAGGGGGGGGAAATAACTTGGCTGCCACTGGGTTTCACTCAATCTCATGCCAGTCCTCTCTATTATGTAATGCTGGGCTACAGTCCTAAGTCTGCATGTTTAAGCTCCTACATAGGAGATTTATCACAGCTGGTACCATAAAATCCGTGTCTGATCACAACTTCCGAAAACAAGCAAACGCCTTGTAAAGGTGCATATATAAAGCAAATGGGATTTTTAAAATTGCTGGCTTCATGACTTTCCTTTCCCATTCTTCCCCCAGCTGACCCCTGACCTCCCCCTTTCCTCCTCTCTTCCCCATTCCCCTTGCTCTCAGCATCCCTGGTGACACAATCTTCAGGCAGACTACTCGCTCAATGCAGGGAAAGCACGTCTTGACTGCAATGCAAACCCTGTCCCGAGATGAACTGGGTAAGGCAGACATGTCCCCAGCAAAGTGTGAATGAAAACTGAGGGCTGCAGGGTAGGAAGAAGAGATGGACAAGACAGGGGTAACCTAGGCACAGAAGAAGAAACGAATTCACAACTTCCCGGGTTCTCTTCTCCCTTGGGGGGAGCCGCTACGGGTTTTGCTCTAACAGGCTAGGATGCTCTTTCGGGCGGTAATTCTCTTCTTGCCAATTACATCAGTGCTTTTCTCATCCAGCCGCAATTCCCAGCCACACTAAAGCGAGCTGGGTGCATTAGGCAGCGTGGGGGAAATGAGACTAGACGAATGCAGGAGTGTCTGCCAAGCGGCTGGAATCCCCAGTCACCCGGGCAAAAACGGGGGAGGGGGTGTTAGGGGGATGAGAAGGGAGGAGAGGGAGACACGGAGGGGAAAACCGTGGCACACAATCTCCCACTCTGCCCACTCCGCCGCCCCCACCCTGCCAGAACCTCGGCTGGATGAGGAAGGACACACGCCCCCGCCACCAACCCAAAGCCTAGTGTCGGTCCGATGAGAGGGGGAGGGGAGGATAGGCATCTGGGCAGTGGAGGAGCACAGACCCTTAATCTGGCTAGTGGGGACAGGCTTCAGGTTGCAGAAGCCAATCTTCCTGCCCCGCGGCCCCTCCGCCCACCTCACAGTCCTCCGATCCCCGGACACACACAATGCAAATCCGGAGTCGCCCAGTGCGTGGAGTGTGGACAGCAAGGGACCGTCGGGGCTTCACCCTGATTTCTCCCACCTCCGGTCCCGCGGCCCCCATTCCCCAGAGAGAGAGAGAGAGGCACCCACCTGCAGGGAAAGAAGAGCCACCCCGAGCCGAGCCGTGTAGCAGGAGGCAGCGGGAGCCAGAGAGGTTCGGGCCGGGCTGGATGGGAGAGCCGCCTGCACCCAAGTCTCGGTCACCCCAGACAGCAGCAGCGGCTCCTGCGCCTTCAGTGGTCCGCCAAGCCGCAGCCCCTCCTCTCCCGCGGGCGGGGCAGGAATTACAGGGCGGGCTCTGGGTCCCCGCCCCCTGCCTCCCCGGGGCGGAGGAGATGCCCCTGGGCGGCGGGGCCGGAGAAGCTAGAGGATGCTGCGCGTTGCCCGCACCAGTCTGCTGTCGGCCGCAGTCCCCGCCAGGTCCCGGGTGCCCCTCCCTGCAGCGAAAGAGGCTCGGGAGCTTACGGGCGGGGCGGCGCCAAGACCCGGACGCATGGAGCTTCCAGAGCCCCGGAGCGGGATTTACTTCCTGGGCTTGCTCCCAAGTGGGCACCCTTGGGAACCCGGAGACTCTGGAAATCACCTGCCCCAGAGACTCTCTCCGGGCTTCACTAGGCCTGACGTACGGGCCCGGGCAGCGGTGTAGGGGTCCTAGCTCTAAACCAAACAGTGAGCTGGCCCCGGCACCAGCTACAACGTTATGGCCCAGAATTTCTCCGGCCCCACAGGACCCGGGCTGCATCAGCAGAGTGTGCGAGCTGATTCAAAGCGAAACAGAAACCCTTTAGCCTGAGCCTGGGGCTCCTGCCAAAACCCAGCCCTCAAGGGTGCCCTACAAAAGGCCGACTGTCGGAGTTGGACAACTTAGAAGCTCGTGCTTTCTTCCTAGCCCGCTGACTCTCAATCAGCAAGGTAAAACTCCCCAGGCCAAAGCAAACCATGCAGTCCTGCAGGGTTGTCCAAGTTGGAAACTAGTTTGCCTCCAGATTAGCTGGATAATTTGGATCTCTGCCCACCACAGTTCTCTCCCTAACCTCATGCATATAATTGTACCTGTCCTCTTAGGGCCTTGGACATTCATTCCACATTGGCATATGGAACAGTAGTTTTCTTGGGTTTTCACACTTTTTATATTTTTGTCTCCTTCACATTCTTTGGAAATTAATATTACCTTGGCACCCTCAAAATTTTGTCTCTCCATCATGGACTTGGGCTATCTCCATCATGGACTTGGGCTATCTCAGCTGCTTTTTCCATTTTTGTTCACTTTTCATCTCCATTATAAGTAGACTATATTACAGTCCCATTGTGGCAGCTTTGTTGTCCTTGATAAAGAAAAAAGTTTATTATAAAAATGTTTCTCAGCAGATATGACATAGAAATAGAAAGACGTTAGAACAGATGGTGGCCAGTCCATCCTAGCCTGCAGTTCACAGCTATGCAACACACCATAACGGCTTTCCATTGAGTTATAACAGCTAAACACACAAAAAAATGCCTCCTTCTTTGTCACCAATTGTCCAGGATTGTAAGGGGTAAATATCGAGAAGTTTTGGTAAATTTAGTATTAAAAGAATCATTACCTCCTCATTAAACAGCTGGTGGGTATCCATCACAATGCTGGGAGGGGGTAGAATTCAAGAAAAGTAAAACATGCTCTTTGCCCTCAAGGTTCTTTTAATCTAATAAAGAAAAGATTGATGAGCTGAAGGAGCGTTGTTGGTGGATCCTGGGAAGTAGCTGGTTTTTGCTCATACCTGCTCGTCCTAAAACAAGATAGACAATTAGCATTCTCGAAGAGTATGGTGACAGTGACAGAAAACAGGTTCCTACACTCATCTACTCTTTGTGCCTCATTTAGAACTCTGTAACCGATAACATAGTAGTTGTTGGTGCATGTCATTCATAAATATAATCCCAAGGCTTTGATCTCCATTTGCCTAAGGCTGCCCTCTTGATAATGACCAAGTAATTGAGAGACACAGCTCTCTGGGAAGACTAACACCCATATTAGCTGGCTTCTAAGCTGTAGTAGACCTTTGTTGTTTTTTTCAGTCTTTTTAGTTGTGTCTGACTCTTGGTGACTTCTTTTGGGATTTTCTTGGCAAAGATGCTACCAGTTGTTTGCCCTTTGCTTCTTCAACTCATTTTATAGATGAGGAAACTGAGGTGAACAAGATTAAGTGACTTGCCCAGGGTCACACAGCTAGTAAGTGTCTGCAGCTGGATTTGAACTCAGGAAGATGAGTCTATCTGATTTCAAGCCCAGTGTTCTATCCACTGAACCACCTAGTAAGAAAAAACTTTCTAAACTATAGTTGACAGTAGATGACCAGAGTTCCCTTTTTTCGCCAACAATGCTTTAATTCAATTTGTTAAAGAGCCTACAATGAACAACGCATTGTACCAGGTACTTAGGATAGAAATACAAAAACTGAATAGTCCTTGTCCTCAAGGGGCTGAGAGAATATGTATATACTAACTATTTCAATAGCCTGCTGGTTGGTCTGCTACCTCAAGTTTCTCTGCACTCCAGTCCATGCACAGGTCTAACTATGTTACTCTCATACTTAATAAATTATCACCTCTAGCATCAAATATAAAATCATCTTTTGAGCATTAAAAGCCTTTCATAACCTAATTCCTCTTACCTTTCCAGTCTTCTTATACCTTACTCCCTGACACATGCTGTACTCTTCAACACAGTTGGCTTCCTTGCTGTTTTACTCCCAAGACTATCTCTTGGGTCTTTGACTTGTTTCTATGCCCGTAATGCTCTCCCTCCTCACCTCTACCTCCTGGCTTCCTGGTTACCTTCAAGTCCCAACTAAATTCCCACTTTCTACCAGAAGCCTTTCCCAATCCCTCTCAATTCTAGTGCCTTCCCTCTATTAATTATTTCCAGTTTATGCAGTATATAGCTTGTTTAAGCACATTTCTTAGTTCCTTATCTTCCCCATCAGATTGCGAACTCCTTGAAGGCAGGGACTGTCTTCCTCCCCACCCCCCCACCCCGACTTTGCATCCCAGGGCTTATCACACTGTTCAGCACAAAGAACACGCTAAATAAATGCTTATTGACTGACTGACAAGTAAAACCAGGTAGTTGGAGGAGAGACTGAGAGAGAGTGCTAACCACAGGGAATATTAGAAAAAGCTGTACATCTATGATACTTGAGCGAAGGTCCAAAGAAGCTAAGGATCCTTCCAGATGGAGTTCCAGGTACCAGGTAGGAGGAGGTGGGGATCGAGGTCCAGGGAAATAGCCTATTCAAAGGCATGGGGATGGAAGATAGAATGGTGAGCTTGGGAAATAATCCTGTTTGGCTAGAACATAAAGAGCGTGAAGGGAAATAATGTGAAATAAGTCTAGAAAGAAGTTGGATTTCGATGTAGAAAGCTTTAAATATCAGGCTGCAGAGCTCAAGTTGATTTAAGAAACTATGGCTAAGAGAATTCGTTCTCTCTCCCCCTTCCCCCCCCACCCCCACATACATTGGGAGGCACTTGGTAACTCTTATTCTAACCAAAATTTATTTTTCTCTGCCACCAGGAAAGGACTCAGAGCAAAGGAAATTTCTGTAATGAGACTATACCATGAAACAACACTCTCATAATGTTTATTTCATTAATTTAATAAATATACAATAAGAACCTGCTTTTCTGTGTGTTAAGCGTTGTTCAGGTGTTGTGAGGGGTGGAAAGATGAATTACTGCTTGTCTTTAAAGACCTTACAGTCTTAGAGGGGACACTAGACAGGTAGACAAGTAACTGATACCAGGTGGAATGTAATAGATGCTAGTAAGACAGAGGCAAATTATGTGCTATGAGAATTTAGAAGAGAGATCATTTCAACGTGGGCCCCAGAGTTTATGTTATGGAAATTATATCGGTGTGTATGTGTATTGTGTGTGTGTGTGTGTGTGTGTGTGTGTGTGTGTGTGTGTGTAAAATACTTTTTGATGTTTTACTTGTAATCGGGGACTGGCTAATGAGAGCCCAGTCCTGGGAATATGCACAGGGAACCCATGTGGATGTTTAGTGAGCTAATTTCTAAATGTGTTTGATGATTAGAATGGAAGATCTGGGTCTACAAAAGTTTCTTGTGTGCTTACTTTGTGTTTGCTTTGTGCTTAAGGTGAAGAAAAACCTTTTAATTGAGTACTGAGTTGGAACTGAGTGCTCTCTGTGCACACCTCTCAGTGGCCCTGAGTGAAGAGTAAGTAATGCTGCAAGCTTCTCCTGGTGGAGACCCTCTCCAACCTGGCCCCCATATGGCTTTGAAGATACATGGTGCCTGTGTCACTTCTGTCCCTGTCATGTCTTTTCCTTTTTGCTCTTAGGTGGAGTATTAGACCCCTTGTGCTTTGTGAGGGCAGCTAGGTAAAAAGTGGATAGAACCCTGGGCCTGAAGTTAAGAGCTGAGGTTCAAATTTGGCTTGAGACAGATTTGGCTGGGCGACCCTAAGCAAGTCACATAATCTCTGTTTGTATCAGTTTTCCCAAGTGTAAAATAGCACCTGTCTCTTAGGGTTGTTGTAAAGATCAAATGAGATAATTATGATTTCTTAATACAGCGCCTGGCACATAGTAGGTGCTGTATAAATATTAGTTATTATTGTTCTGAAAGATCAGCAGAGCCACTAGATACCCAGTGTCTAGGGTGGGAAGGGGGGGGAGGGGACGTAGACAGGCTTAAAAAGCAATCTGAGAAGTGGATAAGGCCAGAAGCAAGGTGCTTTGTCCTGCAAGCAAGGAAGTGTCCTTTGTCTACCGACTATGCTGTATTCAGATGTAAACGTGGTGCACTGAATGCTTTGTAACCAAGGTGGGGAGCCTGCTGCCTCAAGGCCACATGTGGCCCTGTAGGTCCTCAGGTACTGCCTTTTGATTGAATCCAAACTTCATAGAAGAAATCGTCTTCATAAAAGGATTTGTTCTGTAAAACTTGGACTTGGTCAAAAGGCTGCACCCTAGGGCTTAGAAGGCCAAATGTGTCCTGGAGGCCACAGGTTCCCCACCCCTGCTTTACAACCACCTTAAGTCTGAGCTCACTGTCCTCACTGACTGAGAAAAAAGCATGTGCTCCTGGTGCAGGGGTATATTTTTGCACTTTGTTTCTTGCTATATATTTTCAGTAAATATCAATTTGTAAGATATTTTAATGTTAATTGGCTAATTAATATTGAGGCATAATCAATCCCTTAAATTGATAGTGGGAAGCTAATCAGTGATAATATGAAGGAGTTATTAACTGGCTCTAGTTAAAGAATATTGAAAAGATAATTGATCAAATGATATCGGAAGGAAGGAAACAAGCCTTTATTAAGCTACTATATGCCGGGCACTGTACTAAGTGCTTTATAAATATTATCTTATTTGATCTTCACAACAACCTTGGGAAGTAGGTACTGTTATTCCTCTCATTTTACAGCTGAGGAAACTGAGGCAAGCAGAGGTTAAGTGACTTGCTCAGGTCACATATATAATAAGGGTGTAAGGCTGGATTTGAACTCATGTCTTCCCAACCCCCCAGGCTCAGAGCTGGCTTCATTTCCCATCTGGATGTACTTCAAACTTTGAACTTCTTTGTCAAGCCCCCAGGAACGTCATCATCTTGAAAAATAACATCAGCCTTGGTATTTACACCTTATCAGTAACCCCCATCCCTAGGATTCCTCTGATTGGAAGGCAGACCAGAAAGCCCTGTGCTCCATTTAAAGAGGGGGCCAGCTCAGTCATCTCTTCATTTCCCACCAGGCTGCTCTGCTCTGGATTTCTTCATCATATACTCCATTCCAGGTACTTTCTCTTCCCCTATTTCAGCGTCTTTTTGTGTTGTCTATCTTCATTAGATTGCAAGCTCCTTGAGGGCAGAGATTATATTTCTTTTACATACTTTTACATACCA